AGTATTCAACACCCCCTCTCAAGTTGGTGCAGGGATATCGCACATGGTTAACTTGCAAATCAAGTTATGAAGAGTCATCATGGAATCTACCAGAGACGTACATGCGCTTGACTCGACTCAAAATGGCTCAGTTCGACTCAAAACGGCTTGACTCGACTCTAAAACGGCTCGACTTGGCTCAAAATGGCTCGACTCGACTTTAAAACAACTTAGATTTGGTTCTAAAACGATTTGGATTAGGCTCTAAAACGGTTCATACTCGTCTCTAAAACGGCTCGAAATTGACTAAAAAAACAGTTCGAAGTTGGCTTGGCTCGTCTTCTCCGCAAAAATCTCTGAATGTGCGTAGATACTGAATGATGCGGCCTTTTTTACCAGCATCTGCAGATGTACGACTGTAGTTTTTTACCGACGCCTCCAGAGTGCGGCTGCAGCTTTTTACTGATGCTTCCAGAGTGCGGCTGCATTTTTTTACTAGCATCTCCATAGTGCGGCTATGCTTTTTTACTGGCGCCTGAACCGCCGCTAAAAATCACCGTAAACACCACAGAACATATCGGCGGGTTCAAATCCATTTTTGATAGTGATGAGAGTAGATCAGGATAAAAAGGTACCAACTCAGCATATTGTGCTAGTTTAAGGTTTGGAAAGAACTCTAAAGTGGAATCCTAAAATAGTTTTATTTGGCTCTGATACCATGTAGAATTTTAGGAGAAAAAATATAATTTTATTTCTCACCCTTTAGATTATTACATTTAGGGTATTTATTGAATTTCTAATCTATTAATAATATTTTTTTTATTTTACTAGAATTCTAATAATATGAGATTATTATTTTCATAAAATGCTAATTACATAATACTAAATAATTAAATAATTAACTAATTAAATAATAAAATAATAAAATATGGTATTTAACACCAACGTATCTAGCCATGTTAATGCAGAGTCTTGGCAGATGCTCAAACACACTCCCCAATATGATTGCATTGACAATTGATCTATTATCATGTGATAGGAATAGTTTTGTGTCATCTATGAATTGAAGGTGAGACACCTCAATTCTATCTTTACCAATCATAAAGCCTTCAACTGCGGTCTTTTCAGTCCGTTTGTTAGCATTCTACTCAAATCATCCACTGCCAAGGTAGAAAGAAATAGAGATGAAGGATCTCTTTGCCTTATACCCCAAGCACCTTGAAACCACTCCTAGGCCTTACCACTTATTATGACTGCAAAAGAGACAGATGACAAGCCATCTTTCGTCAAACTTCTTCATCTAATCCAAAACCCTTGCAATTTATCGCTAAGTCTAGGGATCCAATTTACCCTATCATAAGCCTTTTCAAAATCTAATTTAAGGCCAACCCTTCTTTTTTCACTCTTTGCATATGTTCTACCTATTCGTTTACTATGAAGGAAGTGTCCATAATTTCTCTTCCTCCAATAAAAGTACTTTGATTTGATGTATGGTGTCATCCAAAACTTCATTAAGCCGTAGTAACAAAATCTTAGTTATTATTTTGTAGGCACTAGTCACTAAATTGACAGGACAATAGTCTGATACCCTGTTTGATTTGTCTTTGTTAGGTATGAGGGTGATGAAAGTTGAGTTCATACTTTGACATATTTTTCCATTCAAATAGAGCTCTTGAAATACCTTCATCAAATCGTCCTTTAAAATGTTGCAACAAGACTGGAAGGAAGCTCCCGCAAATCCATCTGGGCTAGGGGCTTTCTATGTATACATTGCCCAAATAGTTTTCCAAATGTCTCAAACTTTCTTTCAATTTGCTCAACTATGGCAGTACTAATGAGCTACCGATAAACCCTTATTAAAGGCCTAATATTTCTTCCTTGATGTACAAGTGCTGGTAAAACTTGGTGATTTTGCGCCCAAATAAAATTGAATTGTAAAACTGTGACTCCTAGAGTTTCTACACTAGTATGTCCTTTAAGGTTGGTTGGGTAGATGAAATCTCATCCCTGGTAAGAAATGAAATCCAACCATTGATCTCCCAATCATTCAACTTTTTGGACATCAATGCTCAACCACCTTCCAACCAAACATCTCTAAACAAATTGCAAACCCT